CTGGAAATGACCCCTCTTAACTAGGAACCTTACAGCCCCAAATAAGACAATGTTAGGATGTAAGAATCAGCTTGGGCGCAGCATTTGGGATGTTCTACAAAGCATATACACATTACTATATTTAAAACCCATAATAATCCTAGGAGTTAAGCAGGACAAATATTACTATCCTATTTTCCCAAAGAGGGTGGGAGCCTCAATGCTGTCCTTGATTCTTTCAAGGCTATAATAACATCAGAAAGGAACAATTGTGGAAAACAAAAAACTAAATTCAACTTGTTTCTGTGCAAAACCAAATTTCTTAGTTACTTTAAAAAAATATATCTTTAAATACAGAACAACACAATCCTTAAGCAGAACATCCAGCATTTCTAACCTACAATACTTTGATGTCTTGGTCAACATTCAACATCAATACATGATAATTTTACTTTCTTTTATATTCTGAAGGAAAAAAATTCTTATTTTAGGCCAATGCTGCAAAGGACGAGGTCCCAGGTGCCTTTTGGTCTATGAAGATGGTATTGGGAACCCGCCAGCTATGCTTAATATTTCAAAGAGCCTAACTAAAAATTTTTATATTTTCTCTCATGCAATTAGGCCACCCAAATTAATAAAAACCACAAATTTCTTTTCTTTTGGCTGGAATTTTGGTAACACCAGAGATCACAAAATGATCCAGAGGCCTTGATGGATCTTTGAAGACACCACAGAAATTCTAGGACTTGAAAACAGGTCACGCCGGCAGGTTCGAGACCCGCCTGGGCAACTTGGCGAGACCTCATCTCTACAATAAATCTAAAAATCAGCCAGGCGTGGTAGCACGTGCCTGTTGTTCTGGCTACTTGGAAGGCTGAGGCGGAAAGATCGCCGGAGCCCAGCAGGTCGAGGCTGTGGTGGCCAGGAGCAGCCACTGCACTACAGTCTGGGCGACGGAGTGAGACTCCAACTCAAAAAACAAAAGAAAACAGGTCACTCTGTGACTTATGCCCCATGTCCAGCAGGCTCAACTCCTATACATACAGCCAGTGCAGTGAGAACCCTTGGTCGTGAGTGGCAAGAATCTAGACACTCCAACTCTTTGAGACAGAGAACTCTGTGGTGTAAAACTCCTTGCACATAGAGCTGGGTAAAATAAAAGGAGGCCCTGGTGAGTAAGAGGCTGGAAGCCACTGGCCAAACTTTTCTGATGGAAATTGGAAGCAAGGTGTACAAGGGTAGAACACCGGTAGGGTTTTCTTCCAATAATGAAGTGAGAGATATTTCTCCTCACAGATTAAAGAACTCTCTAGGCCCTGATTAAAAAAAAAATACGTCATGAGATGATTAACAGATTTCTTATCATTCACATGTAGAAATGTTTAAAATGACTATTTTAACCATCTGTCATAGAGTATTAAAATGAGTGCTTTTAAGTAAGGGAAAAGAGATATTGGCCCTGCTGTTCACAAGTAAGGGGGAAAGGAAAATGCACACTCTTCATCCTCAGTTCCTGTATTAAACTTGCCAATAGAAGTGGCCGTACATGGACAGAGAGCAGACTCTGGAGTCAGAAAGAGTGTTTGAATCAGTTCTGCCATTAAGAGCTAAGTAGTCGGCCAGGCGTGGTGGCTCAAGCCTGTAATCCCAGCACTTTGGGAGGCCGAGACAAGAGGACTGCCTGAGCCCAGGGGTTCAAGACCAGCTTGGGCAACTTGGTAAGAGCTCGTCTCTACAATAAATATAAAAAAATTAGCCGGGCGTGGTAATTCCAGTTACTTGGAAGGCTGAAGCAGAAGGATTGCCTGAGCCTAGCAGGTTGAGGTTGTAGTGGCCATGAGCGTGCCACTGCACTCCAGCCTGGGTGACAGAGACTCCAACTCAAAAAAAAAAAAAAAAGAGCTAAGTAGTGCTGGACACATGATTCTTAATGTCTTTGAGCTTTAGTTTCTAGATTAAAAATGGAGCTAATATCTCCAAAGAATGCTGAATCAGAAATCAGTGAATCCTTTTGTTCCAATCCCAATTCAGCCATTTACTTGAAGTGCATACTTGGATAACTTGCCTAATTCCTTCAAGTTTTAGTTTTCTATTCTATGAATAGGTAACACCATTTGTTCTTCCAATCTCATAGGTTGGTTTTGAGGATATAGTTCAGGTTAAAAAAAAAATGCCAAAACCCCCCAAAAATCCAAGTAATTATCTTGTTTCTTTGTCTGCTGAAAGGATAAACATAACAGTTTTATTTAATTCTAGTTCTGCCGTTTCATCTCTTCCAGCATACGGTATCCATCCTCAGCTCCAGTGTTGGATCCTGATACGTCCAAGCTAATCATGATAATGCCATCCCTATTGACTGCTTCAGTGGTGCCGCTAAAGTGCTGAAGGCTTTGTTTCAGTAGTTGGGAGGTGAGTCACTCTTCCCACCTGGATATGAAAGCATGGAACCCTGGAGCTGCTAGCAGCCACCTTGATATCATCAGGGAAGAAAGCTGAGAAGAATGAGTCATTGCTCTGATGAAATTATCATCTCTGGATTAAATTGTGCTCAGTATACTTCTGGGCTTTTCTGTTAGGTGAGGCAATACATTTTCTTGGTGGTATTATGAGTTGGGTTTTCTGTTTTTGCAAGTAAAACAATCTTAAGAAATACATCATGGAACCTTGAGCACTACCCCTCTGAACTTGAAGTTTCCTGATCTGTGATGGGGGGTAGTATAATGCCTATCATATACAGGGTTGCAGGAAGATCCAATCGTGCTTGAAAAATGCTTAGCACAATGTATAGTACAAAAGTAAGCATTCAATGTATGGTGACTATTTTTATTACGTTTGGAGCTCTAGACTTTGGGTTAAATTCTTTAAGTATAGCATTTCACTCTGTCATCAGTCAACCTATGAGGATTTATTGTCCCCAGTTTACAAATGAAGAAATGAGGGTTAGACAGTTTACATGGCTTGTACAGGGTCTCACAGCTACCAAGAGGCAGAAATTTCAAAGTATGATTGTTTCTCTATTTTCTATCCTTTGACCAAATGACTGATTTTGAGTAAACAGTGTCAATAAAATATTATTTGAATGCCTATAATGTGCCAAGAACTGTTAGGTATTAAGTATAGAGCAGTAAATATGCATACTCCTTTAGTGCTAGAAAATACAGTCTCACAACTCACAACTATCTGAATCATAAGAGATCAGGCTGAGTTTGTGCCTTGGACTGTTCCGAACAAGAATCAGTCAGCCAACATCAAAATCCTATAGGTACATGAAAAACTATCAGAAATAAAAAAAAAGTTTGGCAACTACATGCAGACCACATAGAGGTTGTTTCCACGCAAAACTTAAAATACATGTATACATCTTACATTTCAAGTGCTATTTAATTCCTCCTAAAACACTGAGCTGAAATGTGCATTATCTTTACATTGATTCCATGGGTTAAAGTATTTTTCATATGTACTATAAAGATATTACCTGCTCTTTCTGATATAATGCCAATTTATATATATTTTCTAGGAAGTCTAAACAACACAATCGGATGTAACAATGGAATGGAAGAAAAAAAATAGACTAGGGTCTTCGCCACCCTATTTTTTTAGGAAATCTGTAGGGAAATCTAATGGTGTGTTTTACTGTTTACCTCAAGGTGACATTCTCCAAATGTCTTTATGTGTTATGGAGTGCCTTTCACAAATCTCCCAACACAAGGAATGTAAAGAATGACTATAATACGAAGAAGCTAATGTGAATCACTTCTTTGCTAGTGTTGGTTGTCTCATGTGCAGATCAGGAAATTCCTTACAAGTAACGTATAGTTAGCCTAGAAAAATACACACAGGCTCTGAACCTGTCTCCTTAACAATAAGAAAAATATTTTGGCTAAGAAAACTTCAGTGTCAGGACACATCCCAGATGAGATTTCACAGGCTTTCATATGCAGGGCAGAGGATCTACTCTCCTGCTTGGCCTCACCCCCAAGTTTTTCATGTCAATTCTGATGGTCTGAGAGAGGAGTACCTGGAAAATCATCCTGCAGACAACATAAGGGACCCTGATTTTAAAATTATGAGATTTTCACCTATACTGACGCCACATGTGAGGGAGCTAACAAACAACGGAGAATAGAGTTTATGACTTGTTTTCTGATAACTTAGTCTTAGATGTACCTAAGAGTTGTGGAAAATTAACTCATCTGTAGTCAGACAGTTCTAGCTTTGTTCTGTCTAGGTGAGAGAAACTGAGCATATTATGCAACCCCTCCAAGCCTGTTTCTCACCTTAAAATTAGAATAATAAAATCGACTTCATAAGGTTGGGGGATAAATGAGATAAATATAGGACCCAGCTCACAGTAGATACACAATAAACAGTAGATCCTTTCACCTTTAATTCTCTAAAAAAATACTTAATATAATGAGTTTCAAGAAAAATGTCCCCCTTAGAAATGTAACCTAAGCATCACTAGAATTCACTAGTTCGGGAGTATCAATAAATAATAACTCTTATTTCCACATTTATATAATACAATGAGAATACAGAGGCTGTCTTCTCTGAGAATCGCAGCGATTCCCAAATTGTAGTACTGTCAAGGCGTCTAGTGACACGACTTTCTGTTAAGACTTCATTGCATCAGGAACACGCTGTGTTTACATGGAAATGCCCCCCATCCCCAATTTTGTCCCTTGCTTTGTCACCTGGACCACAGGAACAGCACTTCTTATGCCTCCCTATGAAAATGGGCATCTTTAGCTTCTGCCTGTAGCCTTTTTCCTCATCCACAGGTAAAGAGCACGAAATTCTCTGTCCCCCAGTCCCCTTTTCCACATAATTCCATTCCAATACAAACTACTCCCTGACAAAAGATACCTTTTTGGCTACTTTCCAGTTTGCCATAACCATACAAACTCTGAAATCTGGTTTAGGCCTGGCTGGAAGCCTCTCCATAATAACAATTACTGCACGTTCTGATTTCTCATTTACTAGGGGTCTGTCTTCCAAATCAAAAGCAAGCAAGAGAAGAGTAAAATGTGTAATATAAATTTATTCTCTTACATTTTCCTCATTGAGATATTTTAAAATAGAGTAAAACACATCAATATTTCATGAAAAAATACCTAGATGAATTTAGATATCTGTAATGTACATGATTTGATATCAATTTACAATGTTTAAATTTAAATATCAATGTTTTCATTTCAACCATCATTTTTTAAAAAGTAACATAAAAATGTTAAAAATCGCTACATTCTTCATATATCCTATGTTTCATAAATTTTAATTCAACTGCCAGTTGTTTTCTCAACTATGTATGTTAATGGTATTTGCTCCTGTTTTTGAACGGGAAGAGTATCCATTTTCTGTTTCTTAACAGTGATATTTAAGTCTTCTTTCTCTGATTCTTCAAGAAAATGTTTCACGCTGAGTTTAAACAGTAATCGAGGGTCTGGTCCAGAAAGTGGTGGGCAATTACATTTCTCTCTAATTTTGACAGCCTAAGAGGAAAGAATATAATTTTAAAATATGTAGAATATTCATCTAAATGTTTTAAGATATTTCAGTAATTCCTAATATGCTCTCTCTATATAAAATATAAGTATAGTTTTTTGACTAAAATGTATCTTGATTATAACACAAAAAAGAAAGATAACCATTGATAAATTCATGGTAAACCATTACTTTCATGATTTGGTCAAGTAATAATATTTTAAAAACAACAACAGTATCTGCAACAACCACCTCAATGCTCTTTTGAGGATGAACCAGTCTTAGAAATAGTTCTGTGGTTTCACTTGAATTCTAGCAGACCCTGAGAACACTTATTCAGATTAGAAAAGACCTGAAAACTCCATGAGAGATTATTTACAAGAAAAGGAAAACAATGAAATATAGATGTCTGAACATACTGAAAAAAGATATACATAACTAGTATAGTCTAGGACAGAATTGATGCTAATAACCTAGAAAAGTAAACAAATCAAAATTATGAAAGTTTTTATCTCCAGGAAAAACAGAATGCTTTGGGGGAAGGAAAAATGATGACAGTATACTATGTGGCTTAGCTGTGACTCGTGTTTATAGTTTAAAATGCCAAATCTTGGACTAACCAAAATCAAAATTTAATTATATTGAAGGGGAGACTGGATACATCTGTACACGCACAGGGTGTGCCAGTGGTAAGGGAGAGCTTAAGTCTTGCCCTCTACAGTAGAAAGTAAATAAGGTCTAAAATTGAACTTAGGAAGCAGCAATATAAGCATGTTATTTAGATATGGCAGGAAATACTAAAACCAACATCCAACAGGGTTGGAAAGTTATCCCTGAAATTGAGGGCAGGGAGGGGAACTGCTGCTTTACATAACTAGCCTTAGAGAACTATTTAACTCTTAAAGTAGGCACATGAATAATCATAAGACATGAAAACTAAAATAATTTTTGAGGGAAAACAGTCTTAACATTTAAGGGGTTTTAAAAGAAAGACATTTGGGGGGGAAGCTAGCTTAGTTTTCAAGTACTTCCAACTTTTTGACAGTGATGTGTCTTAGGGAAGTAAAAAAGGAAGGAAAGGGGACAGTGTTAGGAGGACTGGTAAAATTTTAGAAACACTGTCCAGGCAAGGTCTCACTGACAAGTTAATAACTTGGGAGGCATGTGGCAACCTTGGGGCAAAGCATTCCAGGAGGCAGCCATGAGAGCAAAGATGATAGAACTGTGCTGGGCTGTTCTGGACACTGATGAGGGTGGTACACCTGAGTAGAGGCCTGCTTTTACTATTTGTGAGGGGTCAATGGCAAGAGTGGAAATGGAGGCCCAGATATCATATGTCTACCTAAAGCTGAAAGTCAAGCTAATAAACTACTACATAAAATGTGTACTATTCTCCTTCTTTGAGGAATACACATTCAAAATTATCTGGAAGTCCAGGTACAAAAGTAGAATTCAGAACATAAAAGAGGTTGCAGGGAGCCTCTTCTGGCTCCTGCCACTAGCCTGCCACCTGCCCCCTTCTCCCGCCCCTGGCTTATCTGGTGCTGTGAGGGAGCTATGTGCTTGTGTTCAAGGGAAGAAGTCTGTGTGGGCCCTGAAAGCAGGATCAAACATGCTTGTGCAAGTCAATCAATTACCCTAGACAGCCAGGGTGTGGTGTGGTAGGGACATAGGTTCTTAAATGGGAATACTGCCTTAAGTCTTATGGGAGAGGTAACATGCAGCCAGAGGCAAGTCAATAGCTCATCTCTAAGTAGATGGGGCCAAGGCAGAAGCTTGGGTCTAGGAGCACTTCCGACTCTAATGAGGCTATGAATGATCAAAGTCAGTTGAGGAGTTTGAGATAGATTACTTAATGTGAAATTCTTTGGTGGCAGAGGACTTGTCTTATTTTTCTTTGTATCTCACAATACAATAGATTTAAGATGTTCCTTACATCTACTACTAAAGAAATATATAAGCAAACTGAATTGACATGACAAGAAAATGTTTCCCAACCATACCACTGAAGTGAACAGAAAGTCAGACCCTCAGCTAAATAGTGTCCAAACTGGGATACCCTTGAGAGTGAAAGGGGATGCTAATACACTGAGACACCAGGCAAAGCCAAAACTGTCTTGGCAAAACTGGGACAAACAGCCACTCTTGCCTTCACTCCTTTACAACCATGGTGATTATCTTCTCCAAGTGAGTTTATCTGTCATGGCTGCTGCATCGCATGCCTGAGTTCTGCACTAGTATCAGGGAAGGGGGAGGGTATGGAGTTTAGCAGGTAACAGCTGGCACAGCTGCGTTTAGCAATGAAAGATGAAAAACAGCAAAGAGAAAATCAGGATATCATCCCCTATAATCTTTGTATACTCAGTAAAAACCCTTCTCTTTCCCTTAAATTCTCTTATTCAGTCTTTTTACTGCAATAGATATCTAGAATGCCAAACTGAATAAGGTGCTAGGTACACATTGATCATGGTCCCTACTCTCACAGAATTACTTTGCATTTATCCATTACAGGATATTAGAATTGTTTCGCTTTTGTAAACTACCCTGCTATAAAAACACTTGTTTAAAAAAAGAAACTTATTTTTAACCTTGAAGTGGTTACTTGAAGTGTAACCCCCAAAATAGAATGACCTAATCAAAGAGTAAGAACAGCTTATAATTTTGTCATATAGTACTAGGCTGCTTTTTGCCAGAGAGGTTTTATCAACTTATGTCACCAGCAATACAGGCATACCTGAGTTATCATAATCAGTATAACACAGTAAGAATTCATGATTTTTCTCTAGATAGTCACATAATTTCAAACCTTAGAACCCTTAGAAAATATCAGCTATATCTTACAGATGAGGAAACTGAACCTCAGAGAAGTGAAATGCCTGGCAGGAAACAAAAGCTGCCTTGGAAAATGTTTATCAAAGCTGTATTTGACAAAATTTGTAAGTAACCAAGATGCCCTTCAAGAGGTGAATGGATAAACAAACTGCAGTACATCCAGACAACAGAATGATATTCGTCTCTAAGAAGAAATGCGCTATCAAGCCATGAAAAGACAGAAGGAAGTTTAAATGCATATTACTAAGTTAAAAAAAAAAGCCAGACTGAAAAAGATACAGGATTCCAACTATATGGCATTCTGGAAAAGGCAAAACGATGGAGACAGCAGAAGGGCCAGTAACTGCCAGGCATTAGTGGCAGGAGAGATGAGTAGGCACAGTGTTTTCTCGGCAGCGAAACGACTTTGCATGACACTGCAGTGAAGGGTACACATCACACATTTGCCAAAACTCACACAGTGTTCAATACTAAGAGTGAACCCTAACGTAATACATGACTTTGGTGATGATGACGGATTCATCAGTTGTAACAAGTGTTGTCATTCTGGTGTGATTTTTGTTGGGTGGGAGGCTGTAGGTATGTGGGGACAGACAAACAAGGGAAATATCTGTACCTTCCACTCAACCTAAAACTGCTCTACAAAAATAGTCTAATAAAAAAAATGCTGGCTTGGAAAATTTAAAAGCTGGAATCACAACGTGTTTTGTCTTCAGTGCTTTTGCCCTACATGTTTTTGTATTCATGCTTTTTTTCGACCACATGATGTTTCTTGAGTAAATTTTTTACTGAGTAAATGTACTTTGGAGATGTCTCAGCTACCTTTCTTTGATTGCTAGAAAATACAGGTTTTCTATCACTACCTCTTCACGCATAGACTGTTTCTCTTCTCCAACTACCTATCAGGCAGAATCCTGTTATGACCATATATATTTGTATCAAATCTTCATCTATGCTGCATAGTAAGATTTTATCAGATATTTTGATAAAAATGTTTTTTCCTTTTTTCTCTCTATTGCATATTTATCTTATTACATTTAAGGGTGCCACCATCTTTTTGTTTTTATAAATTCAAATCTATCTTATTAAATATACCCTCATCTCTTCAAAAGTGAATGTTTTCCCATTGTACAACTACAATGTGCCTTTCTACTTTCTTTACTTTTTCTGTGTTTGACTCTATGCGTTGCACAAAATAGGCACTTAACAAATGCACACTAAATTTTAAACAAACATTTATAGAACACTAGCTATGAATAAATCATGATAAATGTCATAGAGAAAACACTCAAGAGTTTACAGTTTAAGAGAAAGCAGGAATGTATTCTAACAGCAAGAATATATGGTTCTGAGAATCCTAAGGAAGATTTGAAGTTAAATATGGAATTAACCATCCAAATATTCCAACTAGAAGTGAAAGGAACTAACATTTACTGTTCACTTTCTCCATGCCTGGCACTGTGCGAGGTGTTTTACATATGTTATCTAAATTGATGTTATGATGCAAACCACTTTTAAAGTCCTGGGTCTGATATAGAATATTTACATTAAAGTGTCTTACAAGGGAGGGGAACAGGAAGGAAGTGAAGGTTGTAGGATCTTAGCCACAAAAACATACAAGTTTGTACATCCAACACAAAGGAGATATAGCTATCCAAACTTCACCTTTAAAGAACACTAAAAGATTAGATTAGGTAATTTTCTCAGAGTTAGGTGTCTAAGTCAGAATTAAAACCCAAGACTCCTAAGACCACTATTATTTTTACAACACTATTTCCTATGAATATCATTTTCTCATTACCAATATGAATGTCCCACATGCTAAATTTCTGAAACAGAGTGGAAGTATTATTCAATTCTACTGCCTATTCTTCTAGTTTCTGCCCACTATTATATTGTTTATCTTTTCTATTATTACACATCATACAATCATTTAACAAGTATTCACTAAGCATCTCAGAAACTGTCACGGGCACTATGGATACAGCAGTGAACAAGGGTCTTACATTCCAGGGTAAAAGACAAAAAACAAATAAACAATATAATTTTAGTTAAGTACATGAAGAAGCTAAGAGTGAACTTTGTAAGAGAACAGTTACCAGGAAGAGAGGCTATTTGAGACTGCGGGATCAGAGAAAGCCTCCCCAGGAGGTGAAGTTTGTGTAAAGAAGTGAGG